TAGGAAGAAGGCTAATATCAGACTCTACACCATCATTTCCTAAACAGGTGTTTTTGTTAAAGACTCACATAGCTGCTTCTAGAATAGAGAAGGTAGATGGCTGATTTCCAACATGTCATTTCTCTGTGGCCATGTTCCCCCAAGACTTTCACACGTGTTCTAGTTTAAACTATAGATGCATCCGGCTAGAAGACGCAGTTTAATCACTCTCTGCTCACATCTGAATTGTGGGAGAGAGATGAGCATCTGTCCTGTTTTTAAATAGCCCTGGATAAAAGACCACTCTTTCCCTAACAGCAATTCCAATATTTATAACCTCACAATTCTTTCTCATCTCTAAGGCAAATCTTTCCCTTCTTTCTCCTAGTTCCTTCACTCAAAAGATGCAGAGAAGTTAACCATATTACTAACTGTATCCCAGTTTTTTTTCCCATTCCATCAAGTAATTCAAATGTCACTTATCTTCTCTTACATTGTTGATAGGCAATAGACACTGATAAGAAAACCATAGAATATTAGTAACAATTTCAGTTACACTGCAATTTTCTAATTATTGGTTCAGTAACATTGTAATTTTCTAATTATAGCCCTAGTTATGGGCTATGCTAAGCATATATTTTAATTGACCCTTGAAAATCAGGCCCAATGAGTGAGCACTAAAAACAATCTGATCACATCATGTCCTGCTTCATAGGGAGTGTGATTCCATCTGTTGGCTTATTTCCCATTTGTCACAGATCTAACAATGGTGTTTACTTGTTTTGCTTTCTGACTTAAATAATTCATCATTGTTGAAATGTTTTGAATTAAGTTATATTCTTCAGTTATTTTTTTAAATCTTGGGATAGGCCGTGTGTGTTTAATCTGTTTAGTGTGCATTGTAGAACAATAGCAAAAACAAAACCTTCCAGGAGGAGATAGAATCTTAAAAGCAAAAAACATCACTTCTAGGGAAGGAACAAGTTACTATGTACATCTTTTTTTGGTTTTTTAAAGAACATAGGGAGACAAAAGGTTTGGCTGAGTCAATTTCTAACTGACAGAGTCATTAATAGCTTTGCTGTTTTGGAATATAAAGCTGTGAGTGAGTGCTATCTCAAAAATGAAAAGAAAGTGGACAAAAGACATCTAGAATAGAGAAAGTGATTCTTAATAAATGCCTCTACACTCAGAAATAAAAAACTGTGACTGGAAAACACAGGCCCTGAAGGAAACTTCATTAGAGTATACAAGTTGAGGTTATAGAAACTGGCATTATTTAGCAGGAAGAAAGAACATGAGAGTTTTTTGAGTTCATGAACAGATTTGATTTTGAGCAAGTAGATGCCTGAAGCTTTTTTATCCTATCCTCAGCCCTTGTTATGCCATCAGGCGGGTAATGGAACTCAAAAAAATTACATAACATTTCTTTCTGCAGTGGATTTGAGAAAATTTACAGCAAAAGAAATGTAGATGGAAATAGGGAAATATAAGCCAGATAGAAACAGGGGAGTAGCAATAAGAAAGGATAATAATATTAGGAGCATTTACTCTATGGTTGGAACTTGGTACGTTATCTCATTAAAACCCTAGCAAGTATCACTCTTTCCATGTTGGTGAGAAACCCAACTCAGATATTTAATAATTAACAAACAATGCCAAAGTCACACCTCGTGCAGCAGGAAGTAGAGATTTGAGCCATTCTAAGAGGAGAGTGAAAAAGTTGGCTTAAAGCTCAACATTCGAGGGTCTTCGAGCTGGTCCTTAGCCTGGGCGGTGCCGCCCGCTCCTCTCCGTTCCGCCCCCGCTTGTCGCTGGCGGGTGCGGGCGTCTGGGGTGCTTTTCTGCTGGGAGTTGCTTTTAGGCAATGAAAACTACAAACAAATAGCAATGTGTGTTCTTTACCATATAAGCATGGATGATCGCTTTAAATCAATGTTTGCATATACTGACTGCATACCACAGTTAATGAAGATGCTCTTCGAGTGTTCAGATGAACGAATTGACTTGGAACTCATTTCTTTCTGCATTAATCTTGCTGCTAACAAAAGGAATGTACAGCTTATCTGTGAAGGAAACGGGCTGAAGATGCTCATGAAGAGGGCTCTGAAGTTCAAGGATCCATTGCTGATGAAAATGATTAGGAACATTTCCCAGCATGATGGAACAACTAAAAATTTATTTATTGATTATGTTGGGGACCTTGCTGCTCAGATCTCTAATGATGAAGAGGAGGAGTTTGTGATTGAATGTTTAGGAACTCTTGCAAATTTGACCATTCCAGACTTAGACTGGGAATTGGTTCTTAAGGAGTATAAGCTGGTTCCATACCTCAAGGATAAACTAAAACCAGGTGCTTCAGAAGATGACCTTGTTTTAGAAGTGGTTATAATGATTGGAACTGTATCTGTGGATGACTCTTGTGCTGCATTGCTAGCCAAATCTGGGATAATCCCTGCACTCATTGAGTTGCTAAATGCTCAACAAGATGATGAATTTGTGTGTCAGATAATTTATGTCTTCTACCAAATGGTTTTCCATCAAGCCACAAGAGATGTCATAATCAAGGAAACACAGGCTCCAGCATATCTCATATCTCTGATGCATGATAAAAATAATGAAATCCGAAAAGTCTGTGATAATACATTAGATATTATAGCGGAATATGATGAAGAATGGGCCAAGAAAATTCAGAGTGAGAAGTTTCGCTGGCATAACTCTCAGTGGCTGGAGATGGTAGAAAGTCGTCAGATGGATGAAAGTGAGCAGTACTTGTATGGTGATGATCGAATTGAGCCATACATCCATGAGGGAGATATTCTCGAGAGACCTGACCTTTTCTATAGCTCAGGTAAGATGATAACCAAGACAAAAATAAATCCTTTTAATGTATGCTATAGGGGTTTTTTGTCTGCCACCTTGCTCATTCCCAAGCTTTATAAGCACTTCTTTCAGTATGTAAATGGTCTTCTGCTAATGATTTTAGACATAACATCAGTACACACCGAGCAAACCTATTAACTCATCATTATTTTTTTCCAAGGTAGTCTTTGATGTGATCTCCATTAAAAAGGCTATAACAAGGAAAATTGCTCTTAATTTATTACTTTCTAGAATGTATAACTTAAAATGACATCTTCAGGATTTACTGCTATTTGAAACTGTGGTGTTTATTCTATATTTATTTAAATATATAGCTTACTAATTTATGTTTTGTTTTCCAGTGTATTTCATTTTAACAGTCTCATTTTGCCATGGTTTTGCTTTAGTTGGGGCTTCCCTCATAGCTCAGTTGGTAAAGAATCCGCCTGCAGTGCAGGAGACCCTGGTCCAACTCTTGGGTCTGGAAGATCCCCTGGAGAAGGGATAGGCTACCCACTCCAGTCTTCTTGGGCTTCCCTTGTGGCTCAGCTGGTAAAGAATCCGCCTGCAAGGCGGGAGACCTGGGTTTGATCCCTGAGTTGGGAAGATCCTCTAAAGAACAGAAAGGCTACCCACTCCAGTATTCTGGCTTAAAATTCCATGGACTGTATAGTCCATGAGGTCACAAAGTCGNTGACTCATTGGAAAAGACCCTGATGCTGGGAGGGATTGGGGGCAGGAGGAGAAGGGGATGACAGAGGATGAGATGGCTGGATGGCATCACCGACTCGATGGACATGAGTTTGAGAAAACTCTGGGAGTTGCTGATAGATAGGGAGGCCTGGCGTGTTGTGATTCATGGGGTCGCAAAGAGTCGGACACAACTGAGCAACTGAACTAAGCTGAACTGATGTGACTATGAGGAGGGCAAACCACAGCCAAACCTGAAGGAAATCAACCCTGAATATTCACTGAAAGGACTGTTGCTGAAGTTGAAGCTCCAATACTTTGGCCACCTGATGTGAAGAGCCAACTCACTGGAAAAGGCCCCAATGCTGGGAAAGATCGAAGGCAAAAGAAGAGGTGAGTGGCAGAGGATGAGATGGTTAGATAGCAACACCGATGCAATGGACATGAATTTGAGCAAACTCTGGCAGATAATGGAGGATAGAGGAGGCTGGCATGCTGCAGTCCATGGAATCACAAAGAATTAGACACAACTTAGCAACTGAACAACACCAATGTGATTATAAGTGGGCACTTTGATCACTCAGAAGCACTCTCTCCAAATTATAACATGGGAAGATATAGTTGCGGTAATTGAGACTTAGATTCTCCTCTGAGATTCTTGGCAGTCAAAATGATAAAGGAAAATTTAATTCTCACAATCAGAATATGGGAATAATTTTTTCCCTCTAAGTTATAAGATGCTTCATATTCAGGTTTATGTAGGAAACACTGCATGATGTGGTAAACAATATCTTAAAAGAAGATTAAAAGATTGTGAGACAGTCATTTCCTAGGCAGGCTGATAAGAAGTCTAGGGGTCCCCAAGGAGAGAGGGGTCTGGAATTCTCAAGGAGGAAGAAAGGACAAACTTTTTTTCCCCCTCTACATTCCTTAGGATTATATAACAATAATGTATCCTGCATGAGGACAGTCTCTGGAAAAAAACCTTCTGGCTAATCCTATTATCTTAAAATGTAAATCATGGGAATAGGTCTAGTGAGATCTTTACAACCTCCAGACATTCTTTTGATTCACTGTAATAACTAATTAGAGAGTATATAATTCCATTGCTAACACTAACAAGGGGGTACTCTTTCTGCCCACTTCTGATGCGTATGTCAGAAGCTTTCTCTATCTCCTTTATACTGTAATAAAACTTTATTACACAAAAGCTCTGAGCTATCAAGCCTCGTCTCTGGCCCTGGATTGACTTCTTCTCCTCCAGAGGCCAAGAATCCCGGTATCTTTTCATGGTTCAGCAACAACCTTTCAATTGCTTGCACAAGTCTTTGATGAAAGCTGAGGTCATAATACAGAGCATATTAAGGGCTGAATGGATGGGTTCTGCTATGTGCTTTGACCACATTCAGAAGTCCCCTTGGCTTATTGCACTCCTGAGGCCCCAACCTCTTGCTCTCAACTTGGTGTCTGTTCTTAATCCTCCATCTCACTCTCTGGCCTTGATGCTGATAAAATAAAATTTCATATATTGAGGTATGAGGAAATCAATCTGGCTTGTACATGAGTTAACTTAAATTTCATGCTAACCAGAACAGCCTGTTTGTGGCCTATAAAACATACATTGTACATCTGCTTTAATTATTAAAGAAAAGTGTTCACTGACCAGAAATAAAGAATGTCTATCTTAAAAGTAAAGATTAAATGCCTTCCTTCCTGGGATGCCATTGCTGGTACTCTTTCCATTATGACTCCCTTCCCAGGTGCTAAGGTCATACTGACTGGCTATGTACGTGCTGGTCTGTTTTTCTGGACACTTTGAAGGAATGTACCCCTGACTTGTTTGGTGTTCTTTGCTCTGATGAGACAGAAAACCATGCCTAAAGCCATGCTTCTCCAGAGCAGTTCCTCAGAGTTGTCTGAGAGGCTGTCCTCAGTTTGGCTCAAATAAAACTCTTTTCCATTCCTATTATAGACGGTTTATTATTTTCCTTGATAATGAGAGTAAACCAGAGCCTTACAGACATGTTCTCTCTGCAACTATCTTGTTAACTTACTTCTTATTAGTGTCCCTCTACTAGGATGTAGGGGTTTTCCTTGTGGCTCAGCTGGTAAAGAATCCACCTGCAATGAGGGGGACCTGGGTTCCATCCCTGAGTTGGGAAGATCCCCTGGAGAAGGGAAAGGCTACCCACTGCAGTATTCTGGCCTGGAGAATTCCATGGACTGTATAGTCCATGGGGTCGCAAATAGTTGGACACAACTGAGCGACTTTCACTTTCACCTCACTCACTAGGATGTAGGCACCAAGACAATGTGGCCCCTGCCCAGCTTCTTTAGGTCTGCATTTCCAACTAAGGTAGTGCTGGGTAAGGATGCAGTGGATGCTCAGTGAATGAATGAATGAACGAATGGGCACATGGGTGACGAAACCTGGGACACACCGGCCTCCTCTGTCTTGAAGCCATGATGTGATGCTCTCTTCCCTGCTCTCAGGAACTCAACTCAGTGGCCTTTTGTCTCAAGCACACAACTTTGCGCCCATAATCCCCCGGATTATTGATTCTCAAATGACACTGGTCAGAAGGAAGGCTTGAGAATGAGACAAAATACTGCCCCCGGGGAGGTCCCTTCTTCCATTTCATATCCCAAGACCTGAGTCCTGCCGGTACATTCCTGCCTCTGCTGTTGTGAGTGAGGCTGTGGGACAGAGGCGGGTGTGAGGCGCTGAGGTGGCCCTGACCCCACCAGATGGCTGGGCGTGTCTGAGGAGGAAGAGTGGGAGGTGGCTGCGATAGCATCATCTTTGTCCAGCTCTTCAGCAGCTGGGCACCAGTCCCTGAAACTGTGCCTCCGAAATGTTTTTAGCCTCAAAGCCATGTGTTGAAAACTCCATCTTTTGTGCTGGCCATTGTATAGAAAAATATCACAGAGTTACATAAACTAAATTGTGTGGGCTCTTCTCTTGAAAGAAGAAATAGAATCCCACATGTTGTCGGCTGAAAGGGAACACAAGGCAGAGAAGATTTTAATAAGCAAGTCAAGCCAAGCCAGGGAATATCCACATAGGAAGTTGGGATTTTAACTGGTTAAAATGACAATCAACCCATTCTTTTAAGAACATGTAAAGCCTTATTACTGACAATGAAGTCCAACAAGACACTGATTAGAGTTAACAGTCCCATCCCCACTTCTCTGGGACCCCACTGACTGGGGAAGAAAGGGTTTGTTTGTGGGACAGATGCCTTCTCTCTGCTTGTGCCTAAGATGGGTGACTGGGATGCCCTGCCATGCTTCGTTGGGTGTGTGCCCTTCACTGCTTCAGTCAAGTCTGGAATTTCTTGATGAAGCTCTGTGTCTCTATGGAGGTTTATGTTTGGAGGCATTCAAGAACCAAGCTGTCAAAATCTGGGCGGTTTGTACGAGTGAAACAGTGGATGGGGAGAAAGGAAGTTAGGAGATGGTTTGGGGAAGAGTGGGAAGCTTCCTGTGTTGTTTGCAAAAAATCCCTGATCTCTAGTGCTTCATTCTGTTCTATGTTGAAGAGAAAGGTCATTGAAAGTGATATTCGTGTGTGTGTGTGTGTGTGTGTGTGTGTGTGTGTGTGTGTGAATAGAGAGAGACAGACAGACAAATGACAAAGACAGAACATGAATGGTCATGTACAGATACGAAAAACATTCCTGTCTTTCCCTTTTCAATGTTAAATAGGTCTTTTTCTTCCTCAGGAGGGTCCCATACTAACAGATGTTGGTAAAGCTCCTTCTTCACCTATTGATGCTTGCAGGAGAAAACCAAATGCTTTATCTCTCAGAACCACAGTGATCAGGCCAGGTTGGGCCATCCAAGCTCCCAGAGACCCTGTTGACCCCTCGGGAGGCCCCTAGTGGAAGTGTAGGGGAGCAGAATGTTTGCACGTCTGATCTTCTCAGCATCCAGCACTAGGCAGCCACGAGGAACATCCTGACTCTGCATCTCTGCTCCTGACTCCACAGGCAGCTGAGCCATTGACATGTGTGACGGTGTCTCTCCATCACACACGTACCCAGGGCTCTTGCTTGGCTACAGTCCTGTCTCCCAAATCTGGCTATAAGACTGAGTCACCCAGACCCCCCAGAGTGAGTTGTGGGAGGTCCTGTCCTCCCCACTAGGAAGCAGAGGTCCCCAGAAGGGCAGCAGCCACTCCTGACCACAGCAGGTGAGTGACAGAGCCACGAGGGAACCCAGGGCCTTCCTCTCTCAGGAGGGACATCAGGCTTAGTGGAAAATGTGAGGAGGCTTCCCTCTTATTTTCATGATCCTGATTAGATGTGGCAGCTAACAGGCAACACAGCCAGGCAATGAATACAGATGTAAGAAGGACATTTCAGTAGGGTTTCAAATGAGGGGCACACATACTGGAGTTAATACTCCGAAGTAAGTGATTACCATGAGGCTTTGGAGTGCTGTATAGATACTCTCTTTTAAAATCTTCCACCCCTGGAAGGTTGGACCTGGCCAGTTGGGTGGATTTTTCAGTAAACTCTGCTCTTGGTTTTCTTCTTCTTTCCTTGATCCCAAAGACTGTTTATTGAGTCATGACTATATGCTAGAAGCTGTGCTCAGTATTGAGAATGGAGATGAGATGAGATGAAAGAGATAAATGAAACAGTACTCCTCTCCTCCAAGAGTTTTGCACAGGAGGCAGACATTTAAGCAGTCAACTATGACACAATGACAAGGGAGCGGTGGGAAGGGACCCCCATGGAAGGGAGATGGATGTTGGGAAGGACGTTCCAGGTGGGGCAACAGTGAAACTGCCTCTGGAAGGAGCAGTAGGAATGTCTGGTGACAAGGACAGGGACCAGGCAAGGACAGGGAACTGCAATCCAGGCAGAAGGAACTCAGTGTGTAAAGACACAGCTTTGCAGAAAAGCCTGGTATGCTTCTAGATTCAGCAGAGCTTTTCCCAGGCACTGGCCAGAGAGTCAGGCGGCATGGCTGGAAGAGTGGCAGGCAGGTCTCCATGCCACACCAAGACAAACAACCTCCTCCCTTGGAGGATGGTGAGCCACAGGAGAGATTTGATCTAGGAAATAATACAATTTGCTCAACTTAGAAGCATCATTCTATAGCAATATGGAGGAGAACAAGAAGCCTGCTGTGTTTGGAGGAGCCTGTGTTACAGCAACTCTGAAAGTCAAGTCCACATGGATGGAGAAGCTCCACCAGTCAGATGGTCCCTGAAGTCTAAACCCTCAGTGTCATCTGCAAAGCAGGTGCTGAATTGCACTGTGAGAGGAGGAGAGGGAAATGAACAAGGTACATCATGGGTCTTTGAGGGGATGTGTAAATGAAGAGCAATCTGAAGGCATGGCTATGGAGACCACAGAGGTATCCCGTGTGGCCTGCTTCTACTAGGATCTCACATGCATCCCAGAACACAGGAGTGTCAGGTACCATGTGGTGCATCCTACAACACATGGTACTTGTACCTAATTTTATTGTTGGAAAACACTGCATCGTTTAGCAGCATGTGCTCCAGAATAATTTTCTCGTCAGAACTAATCAAGAGAAGTACATTTCAAGATTTTTTCACTCTTCATTTGCAAAGCTTGCCCAACACACCAATACAGAGCAAATTAGACTTTCTGGAACATATTGTATTTGCAATCTTTGGGCTGGCTACTAACTTGTGGTAAGAAAGATGCATAAGGAATAATTTCAGTACAGGGTGACAAATAAATTTAGAAGGATCAAAGAACAGGACAAGAACTATTTGTTTTTCTAATGAGGAAGGAAATTAAGACTTCAGGGAGAAGGGGAGAAGGTTTAATTTAGGCAAAAGAAACATATACAAAGGCATGAGTGCTTTAAAGACTGCCCACGCATATTCAGGGGATAGGAAGAAGACCTGTGTGTCACAGGCAGGATGCTTGGGGCAGGAACATTGGGGAAGGATGGAGCTGAAGTAGATACAAGACTGACTTAAAGGCCAAATGCACCAAGGTAAGAAGAGGGACGTTTCTTTTGGGGAGAGTGAGCCCTTCTGGAGATAGGAGAAGATACAGTAGTGGGCTCACCTCCACTGTGCTTTCACAAATGTTGTGAAATGCTACTGAACAACTTCCTTCAGGAGTAACTTGACATAAGTCTCTGCCAAGCTATTAAGGGAAGTTACCAGAAGGGTGGATGGACGTTGTACAGCTGTCACCTCAGGGGTATGGGAGATAGTCCGCACTGCTTTTTCAGATCACCTGCCAGGACTCTGATAGGAAGGCACCATCTTGGACTTTAGCTCTAACTAAGGAGCCAATCATTAGGGCCGTGAACCTAGTCATGGCTGCCTATCATCAGGACACAGAGGAACAGAACCAGAAGCAGTATTTTGCTTCTCTTATCAACATGCCTGGGAAGAACACATTCAGAGCTGATATAAGCTCAATTGTTAATAATCGTGGTGATGGAGAAGACTCTTGAGAGTCCCTTGGAGTGCAAGGAGATCAAATCAGTCAAATTAACCCTGAATATTCATTGGAAGGACTGATGCTGAAGCTGAAGCTCCAATACTTGGGCCACCTGATGTTAGGAGCTGATACATTGGAAAAGACCCTGTTGCTGGGAAAGACTGAGGGCAGGAGGAGAAGGGGGTGGCAGAGGATGAGATGGTTGGATAGTATCACTGACTCATGAGTTTGGGCAAATTCTGGGAGATGGTGAGGGCCAGGGAAGCCTGGCATGTTACAGTTCATGGGGTTGCAAAGAGTCAGACATGACTTAGCAACTGAACAACAATAAAACCACTTTTGGAAGACAACTTAGAGCAGAAATGAACAGTAAACTATTTATGATTTGGCAATATAAGTGAAACACATCTGGTTTCTCTCTCTGTTTCATATCCATCCTCTGCCTCTCTTGAGAGGCAGAGGCCAGTTCACATCCTGGGTGATATGTTCCTTCCCAATTTCTTTCCTGTCATCCTTGTGGTCACTCCTAAGATATTTCTCACCTGTGGTACTCACCTGTCACTCATTCTGTTACCCACTGCACATTGCACCATCTCAGCCCCCAGGCTATAAGAGCAAGGCCAGCAGAGATGGTT